GAGCTAGAACAAAAATTTTTTTATCATTAAATAGGGAATTGTTTATACTATATACACCACTATTCAAAACAAAAAAATTCGCACCTACGATTTTTTCAGAAAACGCCGCCTAAATGCCCACTGTGCAATACTCCATTCGCTTGAAAAGCAAGGGTGTCCAAATCCATAAACTGGATTCTCTTTTTTACTCCAATTCATGATTTATTCCGCATAGTGTGATGATGGACTTTTCTCCTGCTCCGTCACACTTTGCTCTTTTTCATCTTCAGCTTTTTTGTATGCGCTTGGCAAGTTGGAACGTATATTTCAATCATTATCTGACTTTAATTCGGGTCGTATTCCGACATTTTTATTTGTTGTGAAATAGTGTGCGGAGGAGATTACGTTTTTCTCTGACGAGAGTGTCTTTGTATGCAATCTTTTGGCTCGAAGCGACACAATTTCGGTACATATATTTCAAAATCTGTTTCTTTACTCGATGCCCACGTCAGCATTTCGTTAGCATCGACTCAATATTTTGATGTATCAGTCTTTAGAATTTTAACACCCTATTGTAGCGAATGTTTGAAAATCGAACTAGTATAATATGCAGGGTCGTCGATTGTTTTTGGGAGTGTGTGAGGATAAAAGTTGAACAGAAACTTTCTATCGTCCTTTCAAGATTTTGGCAGAAAGTGTTACAGTTTAGGGAAAGAAAAACCCCGCCCTAATCGACTACCCTTGTACTGTGTAAACTTAGTGCGAAAGATGATAAAGATGTTGCAGTTCAGCCTGAGGGAAAAATTCTGTTAAATCTGATTAAACATGTGTATCCCGAAGTAACAACAATAACGAAGTTACGGAAGGACGAAAGTGAAGGGGCACTGTTGTAAGTGGAAGTTTTATCACAATTCAGAACATTCACAGTAACTCACTTGTATAAATACAATTTGTTTTCCAGAGTGCACAAATGGAAAAAACATTTTAGGAGCTGTTTACGGAGATCTTTGATAATTATTGTTGACCGCTAAGTTTACTCTTCCTCTTCTTCGTCCTAGTCCTAGTACCACGACCAGAATAACGGCAGACGGCGAAATCTTTTGTTTGAACATTTTTCCTAAGTCGCCTTTCGATTATATTTGTTTAGATTACGTCTTAAAGGTGGTGATCGATCAACGGTGAAATATTGGATTAAGTTATTTGATGAGACAATAAAACAAACAATTCGCTTGCACTGCGAAGACGTTATTATTTCCACGATTAAAGAAGCTTTTCCGGGCGCAACTGCTTTAAAGTATAAGTGGTTATCGAACGATGATAATGATCAGAATTGGGTTCTGTAAGTACTTCGACGATGATAAAAACCATAATAGTAAAGCCATGGCTGATATTTCGACTGAGTTCGAAAGTTTGACAAAGAATTCAAATTTCCTTTATTAGTAAAGATTAAAATTATTGCGGCACTGAGCACTTCATATTCACAAAGGCAATATGTTTATTTTGGATATAAGAAAATTATCTTTCTCACAGAAAAACGATTTTTCACCACGTGTATTCTTTACATAAACGAAACAATCGGTGTTTAATCATTTAGATTCGAGTCGATGTTTCTTCTAGGTGATTTTTAGTCGGTTTACAGCATGAATTTTTCGTTCTCCAAGTCCAAAAATTTTGGGATCTAAATTTAAAACAGTTTTCTAAGTTCATTTTCATATTTGTAGAAAATTAAGCCGGTGTTGAAATTAAGTCCATTGAAACGTCCAGTTACAGCGGAAGATCCTTATGGACTGTTAGGCCATCCTGGGATGGACAAATTAGGCATTGGAATTAGTATTCAAAATCATATAATTTATGCAGTTAATAAAATGCATTATATTGGTAGCATTGATCGAGATGAACGAATATCAGAATCACACAGTAAAACGTATGCTATCGATCAAAGTTAGAAATTAATGTTTGAACAAGCGATAACTCGAACGAATGAGAAAAGAAGAGGGGGTGCTTTATAAAGCTCGAGAGAAATAATTTTCTCATTTCATTGGTATAAGAAATGCATCGGAAACAGAAAATATTCGTTTATCTGTGATCAATTGGTTTGAAATATCAATTCAATGGTGGTTAAAAATGGAAGGAGATGACGACTCTATTGATTCCATTCCTGATATATGCTGTAGAATTTTGAAATTATGGTACACATTAGGAGATATCGGGTTTGGTGGAAAACGCAGAAAAGGAAAACATCGAATAGGAAAACGTAGAAAAAAAATCAGGAAAATGCCGAAGAGGAAAATGTCGAACTGGAAAATAGAGAAATTCAGGCTGTCGAATGGGGAAAATAGAAAAAAGGAAAAAGTAGAAAGGAAAATGTCGAA